CAACCTAAATTTTCTTTATTTTTAGTAGCACAGCATCATATTATTTTCAGACAATGAATAAAAACATTCACAGAATGAAAATATTCAGAGAAAAATTCATACCCATTCATTTCACAAAAACAGAAAAAAAAAACCAGCAACAACTAAAATTTGGCACAGAAGACAGCAGCAAATAAACTCCATATAGCAAAGTTTTCAGTCATTTATCCAGACAATATACATTGTTCAGCAAATGTGCAATGTGGAATATCCTGCCGTGATGCCTCTTTTTAATTAAAATAAAGTTAAGCTTAAAAATACTTTTGAATTGCATTATATGGGGCTTATCAAATACATTTGAAGCTTACAGATGAAGAGGCATCACTACCTGGAAGTCTTTTCAACCCCTGGAAAACATATTGTTGACTGTTTCTTAAACTGTATTTTAGAACACTGATCACAGCCCAGAAACCTTCTGCAGTGTAATATGCTTCTGCTGCTTGTGGGGCCTTATCTGGCCTCAAATACTGTCTGTGCTTCTCTGCTACTATCACGGGAAAGATTTCTTCCTCCAGTTACCTCTTTCCTTACATTATACAAAAACGGGACTGAAAATACTGATGTTAATTCTTCAGACTCTGCACATTGCAGCTCTTTCCTTTAAATTCTTCCTCTCCTGTGCTTCTGAGAGTTGCTAAGGCCAAAACTGTCAGAAGACCTTTCACACTGAATTTCTCCTTCAGGAGTGCCCAGCACAGAGGATGAAGTTATACTGGGAAAAAGTATGCATTTAGCATCAAAGCTCGTACCCCTCAAAACCCCCAAATTGTGATTTAGTTCAGCAACATAGGATATGTAAAATATCCAGGATTATGTCCTTGCAAAAGCATGAAGTGGTTGAAAAAGTCAAGGAAGCGCATTAAGTAGAAAAGCTTTAGGGGCCAGTGGGTTCTTTTCACTGTTGCGAGAGGCACTAGAAAACCAGTCTTTGCCAAGAAAACATATCCAGATATTAAAATTTTAAGCACCAAGTGCACAGGTACCTTCTTCCAACCGCCCCCAAAAAAACCCAAACCAACAAAAAAACCCCCACTACCCCCTCCCAAAAAAACCCACAGAAATTTTTCAAAGTCACAAAGGACAGCTGAGACTAACCTTCCACTGGCAGTTGGGCATCTCAGGAGCATACACAGAGAATGAGGAAGGGAACATGAAAAAACAGCTAAGCCAGCTGTCAACAGCTTTGATTTACCAGAACCAGTCATGGGGCATGACTGGGTGGTACACCACAGGCAGACCCAATCTTCCTCACACCTGTTCAGAGAAGATCAGATGCAAACCAGCTCCAGCTCAAAAGCTGCAGGGATTCCTTAGACTGGTTCTGTGTCTAAGCTAAAAGAGGCCAGTCTCTCAGGACTGCATTTTAAATTGAGCACAGCACTGAAGTAACAAAGCTAGAAGGCTTACAGAGAAGATCCAACTCCTGTCTAATTATTTGAGCGTGGGCAGAGAAGCGTAGGTCAGTCTGCCAGGCATTGTATAGCTACACCCTATCAGTGTTAGGAGGGGCATAATTAGTCCAGGAGAAAATCAATGTTAAGACATACAGACCAATTTGAAGATTTCTGCCTGTTACTGAATTTGCTCCAAAGATTTATTCCTACAGGCTTCTTTGGGTGTTTGGAACTCCCCTTGCTCCCTCTTAAGCACACACTAAATGTAATAACTTTCTTTTTAAAAAAAATCATCATGTTCAATAGTAATAACCCATCCTGTTATTAACAAACGCAAGAATTTAAAAAGTCAAATGGATTCTCACTCCTTCTGCTATTGGCTTCTGCATTTTGTTCTGTTTGGACACAGAACAGAAAGGTCTCACTTTCTCCCACTCAGGAAGGCTGAGTGGGAGACAGTTCTATAGCTGGGAGACATGGAAAAAACAATAAAATGATTGTATACAAATATTTCCGTTTCTCTTCCCCAATTTATAAAGTCATTTAAAAAAAGCAAAAGCGTGTTTGTTGGAGATTACTGTACAATGAGTTAACATGCTAAATAAATTAGCAACAGAAAGAAGTAAGTCAGCTTCAACTTTTAGAAATGTAGAAGTCTTAAAAATAGTTCAGGCAATCAGACTTCAGAGCAAATCTTACTTTTACAGAAACTGTTTCCTATCCTGTTAAATATTTCTCTTACCACTGTGCGAAAGACTTAAACAATGGAGGGAAACTGGCTAAGGCTCACTATGCGGACTGAAATGATCTCAATTCAGCAGCAAGAACCAGCATCAAGACTTCTGAATAATGGTATCAAACTCAAACATTTAGGTAAGGAGTTGACATGCACCCCTTTCCTCCACGCTAAAGTCCTTCACAAGTAACTCCAAGTCTCCAAGCTTTCAAACATACTTCACGGATTAAATAGTGTAAACTACAAGCCAGTCCTTTAAACAGCATCAATTCAGTAAACTTGAGTTTTTCTGATGCTATGCAGCATCGCCACCTAAACCCCTCAAGCCATTTAAGACATTTATCCTTTAGTTTCTGTCCTAAACTATGCTAGAGTTTAACTGTATGCTCTCCCATTCAAAGTAGGCTGCACCGTGCTGGTGGGTGTGGTGGGTTGATGGCAAGACGCAGTACAGTAAGTGTATTGGTTTCTAAGCAGACATAAGTTTGCAAAAACAAACAACTCCTGGTGAATTCCCTGAGCCTTCTTGTGGCTCGGCTGCAGGCTCAGAGCCATATTTTATACTGGCACCCGTAAGGTCTAATAGAAGGCTCTGCGATCTTGAATCTTACTTGTATCATGACAGCCACGTACCTAAGCTATGTTTGAGGGTGCACTTTTATAACTAAAAGCTACATCCTGCAGCTTCACCTGAACAATGCCTTATTTTGTTATTCATCTAGTTGGGTGTCAAAATCAAGCAACAGACCTTTCATGACACAACAATGCTACATGAAGTGTAAGATGCTATTGACATCTAACTACCAGTAAGCAGCCACGCTAGGAACAAACATTTTAGAAGCAAAGCACTTCAGCAAGTTTTAATAACGGATTTATACAGCACATCTCCTCTCCAGACCTGATACTAAGCACTATACCATGGTCAGAGAACTCCTTTCCCAATGTACAAACAAAGCCAAGGTGTCAAACAAAAACAAACTGACATTGGGTGAAAAAGCAGTGAGACAAATTTATAAACAGAAAGCAGTCTGAGAAGGAGACAGATACGTACCCTGAGGTTTGGTACAGCCAAATCATGATTATCCATACCTCCAGCATGATACAAAGCCCAAAATCAACATGGCTTGAACACAAGGTTTTTATATTTAGCAGTTGTCCCGGTTTTGGCTGGGATGGAGTTAATTTTCTTCCTAGTAGCAGGCATAGTGCTGTGTTTTGGATTTAGCATGAGAATAATGTGATAACACACTGATGTTTTAGTTGTTGCTAAGCAGTGTTTATACTAAGTCAACGACTTTTCAGCTTCCCATACTCGGCCAGCGAAGAGGCTGGGAGGGGGCACAGCCAGGACAGCTGACCCAAACTGGCCAAAGGGATATTCCATACCATGGGACGTCATGCTCAGTATATAAGCTGGGAGGAGTTGGCTGGGTGACTGCTGCTCAGGGACTGGCTGGGCATCGGTGGGTGGGTGATGAGCAACTGCATCGTGCATCACTTGCTTTGTATATTCTGCTGGTATTATTATTATTACTATTATACTTTATTTCATTTCAATTATTAAACTGTTCTTATCTCAACCCACGAGTTTTCCCACTTTCACTCTTCCAATTCTCTCCCCCCACCCCACCAGGGCGGGGGGAGTGAGCAAGAGGCTGTGTGGTGCTCAGTTGCCGGCTGAGGTCAAACCACAACAGCAATTAATAAGGCTCAAGGAGCCTTATTAAAGACCCTTATCAAAGAGCCTATCTGAAGGCAGATAGTACTTTGAGCATTAAAGCCCCCCCAGCCACCTGCTCCGATTTAATTTTTTTCCAAGTTTACCATCACACAGCCACAGCTCTTCAACTCTTTAACTCTAGTATATCTTTACTCTTCAATAATTTTTTGTAAGAGTGGCCTATGGCAAAAAAAAAAAAAAAAAAAATCACAGCTACACAAGTGCTTGTAAACAGAGGTACCAAGGCAATACACAGTCCCAATCAAAATGGATTGGGTTTGTCACTGCCAGTGCCTAAGGAGTGCCCATATAAGTAAATATAAGGCCACATCATTCTGCACTCCCCCCACCCCACAAGCTCATTTCAGCCTGCAGAAGTCATCTGTGCCTGCAGCAGGGCAGGCCACATTTCTACTCTTCACGTGACAAAGACACAAACACATTGGTTTAGGCAGAAGCAGCTTTTGCACTGATGCTGCTCTTTATTTTCCACTCTTTTTGTGAAATACAGAGACAATTTCCAAGCAAAGCCTTTGGGGAAAGAGCTTTACTCAAAATCACTAGTCCTCTGTCTAGCACAATAAGAGCAGAGAATGCAAATTAGTTTCAATAAAAGCAGCTGGCAATCAATAAGAAAGGGCTGGTCTCCAAGAGTAAAACTGGTTCCTCTAAGGATAAGAGTTAAAAAGGGAAAAATATAAGAAGATGAATAAAGGAAGAACAAATGTAAACAACATGGGGGGGTTGCACAAAAGGAGAAAAATCTAATGATGCAATTAAAAAAAAAATCAGACAAACTGACAAAGAACAGCTGGGGGTAAAAAGGAAAGAAAAATACAGATAACTATAGTGCAAAGAAAAGGATCATTAGAAAAAGTCTAATGGAAAACATGTGCAATCCAAACAAGAAAATAAAAATCATGAAAGGGAGCAGATACGAGGCTAGCTGGCACTAAGGCTTATGGCACCAGTCACGAGCTCACATTCTAGCCTGGTTCGCAGGCGTTGGTAAGTCCGATAATGAGCTTCAGCATTAATCTGCCCATTTCACAAAAACTTGTACGCTCCTCTCCTCTGACCTTCTGCCATAATGCAGAAAGTCAATATCCACCTGAGTGGGCCAGAACCCACCCACTCTGCATGCAGTCAGACTCCTTTTCTCCATCCCTTCACCTCAGAAGTCCACAGGCACCTGCAAAGGACTGAGAAAAGCCCAGCATTATGGTTACCTCCTGTTTAAAAAAAAAAAAAAAAAAAAAAGAATTCCTCAAGATTGACACTTTCACTGGGTCTCCCTATTATTGTATCTAATTTTTATAAGTCAATTAGAGAAAGAATACATTATGGACACAGACGAAGCCTTCCCTTGCAGCTGCTATAGATAGGACTTGATATAAAGGGGAAAATACAAGTATTTTGGCACTGTTAGCAACCTCTGCTCAAGAGAAACCCAGAAATCAAGTGTCTCGCATACTGCAAGTCAGTGTCACAAATCACTTACCCTCCTCCGTCTTGCATCTACAAACCCAGCTCCAATTTCTGGTTTTATCAACATCCTCCAACAAACGCTTGGTTAACATGGGACTAAGGTTCCTATCTTGCACATGCCTTTAATATTGCATATTAGCAAACAGGAACGCAAGCAGTTACTTTGCTCAGAAGCTTTTCAGACCCAAAGAATTTCACCAGCAAACTACACAACGTAACTCCTTTGATTCCAAGAACGTAGCCCCCATCTTTAATAAAGTAGCTGCTTAAATAGCATACATTAATTATATGGGGTGGAAAGTGGTGTTTTCTACACTCACATGAAACTGCAGGGGAAAGTCCTATCACTGCACACTATTTATTTAGATTAAGTTTTGACCAGCATACTGATGGACTAGACAGAGAAGTCTCTGCCAAGTTGCTAATATACTTAAAATTATGCTTATACTTTCAGAACTTTAATACAGAATAATTCGATTGGGGCATGCCCTATGCTTCGAGAAATTCTACAAGACTTCTAATGACAAAAGTGGTCAGAAAATTCTAGTCACATTGACATCTGAAAGCACAGAGCTCGCATTTTAAAGGGAGAAAGGAGTGACTAACTTCTTTGCAACTAAAAACGGTGTACAAGAAATCAAACGAAGTAGGATGGAAAAGAAAAAAAACCCTGAAACTAAACTAGTGGTAGGGTAAAAGACAGCAAAGAGAATATTATCGCACATTCTTATCCCCTCAAGATACACGTATGCCTAAAGGGCCCACAAATATCTGATCTCTGGCTGTTTGCCACATTCAACATACAAAGCCTACTTCCTCTATTGCCTACAGCAATTATTTTAGGGTTTGTCTTAATAAAAAAATCTCTCTCAAAAAAAAAAAAGAAGTGGGGGAGGAGGCCTGCACTGTTGCAGTTTTACATCGACAGCCTCATGGCCTGCCACTACTGCTAAGACAATTACAGCATTTTAACAGCACATTTCCCTAAGGTAGCAAGCAGTTAAGACCTTTATGTACTGAAAGAGATGCCCTTCCACATTAGCATGGCCTATTAGCCACAAACAGGATTAAGAGCTCAGAAAATCCTCGCAGAGCCCACATCT